AAGTGAAGAATATCAGCGTCTTGTATCTTTGTAAAGCAACTGTAGCGTTATACTTATGCCAAAGCCTGTATTTATTTCTTTATGCTGTAATGGTGAAATGCTAATTGAGTTTCAGCACAATCATTTTTTCACTTCCTGTGCTGAATGATCGGTTCTGGTTACTTACCACAAGTTCATGAGTTATAATGAACCACTTGCTCTTCTCCTGTGAAATAGATAGGCTTCCTTCTATTCAAGGTCAATTTGTTGATTTTTTACACTTCGATTGGGCTGAGAGTTGCAGAAAAATGGTAGAGAATTGTTATCCATGGGAGTTGTTTATAAATTGTTTAAATTATAAATAGATAGAAATTAGTTGTCGATAAAATGACGATACTTATGGGTCTCATGAAATATGTGTATAAACAATTTTTATGAGTTAATTTAACCAATGGTCACTGAACTTTGTTATAGGTTACTACTTGTTCATTGAAATTTAAAAAGTTAGGGGTGTTCTATTTGTATTTCAGTTTTGAAATTTGAATTCATTTTGGGTTTTGTGCTTCAAGTGTCTATTTTGAGATTGTTGAAAATGTATTCTTTTTGATATTTTGAAAAATTGTTTTCAAAAATTAAAAATTGGAGAACCCTCTCTCTCTCTCTACTGTAGCGGTTGTTGGTTGTGACTGTGGCGGTGGGGTGTGGTGGTTTTGGGTGCGTGTTGTGCGACGCTGGTGTGGTGCAGGTTGTGGCTGTGGCTGTGGTGGTTGTGGCTATGTTGTGGCGATGGCTAAGGTGGTGGCTCTGCAGCAATTTTGGCGGGTTTTGTGGTGGTGGATCTAGTAGTTGTTTGGTGGTGGTGGTTGTGGTGGTGGATTTGGCGATTGTGTGGTGGTGGTGTGGTGGTTGGGGTGATGTTGTGGCAGCGGTGTGGTGTAAGCAACGACGGTGGTGGTTACGCCAGTGGCGTTGGTATAGTGCAGGCGGTGTTGGTGGTGGTTAGGGTGACGTTAAATTGAACATATTCAAAACACGTTTTGAAAATTTTGATTTGATTATAATTGAAAACACTCAAGATAACAAATTTGTCGTTTTGAGTTTTCTTTGTAAATCTTTAACTTGTGTTCAAAAATGCGTTTTCCTTGTTTTGAAAAATCGAAAACAGAAAACGACTTGAAAACAATAAAGTCCCTTATTCTTTACTCATTGAACTTTGTTATATGTGTTTCGCGCGGGTTTATCGAGCCTCATTAATAATTAAAGAATGATTCAAACGATTGTATAAGGAACAAACCTCTTGAGACAGTCCTAACGATGGGTGCTTTATTTACGAAGATTACAATGAAAAACAAAACAGAACGCCTCCAAGGGGCATAAGCACACAAAGTAATTTGAAAGTTGACGATAAGAATTAAAAGAAGTAAAATTACATAT